AAGGCAATAAGAGAGGAAATACTTCAAAGAGCAAAAGATGTGAATAAACCAGAAAGATGGTTGGCATATAAATTGAAAAAAAAAGAAAGAAAAAAAACCCTGATACATCAACTAGTAGGTGAGAAATGCACTCTTTATTACCTGAATGAAGATAAAAAAATAATCCAAGAGAATTATGGAAAACTGTATGACCAGGAGGAAATTTCAAAAAATAGAAAAAAACAATACTTGGAAAAATCTGAACTTCCTAAAGTACCTGAACACAGTAAAGGCTGCATTGAACAAACAAATAACTATGATGGAATTGACAGAAGCAATTAAGAGACAATAGAATAATAAAACGCCAGGGCCAGATGGGTTACCAGCAGAATTGTATAAACATTTATAAGATACATTAGTCCCAATTATGTTGGAAGTTTATAATGAAGTTCTGTTAGAAGCGAAAGTACCAAATCCATGGATAGAAGCAAATATTACTCTTATCAGATTTAATGCAGATTTTTAAAAAAACTATAGACCAATATCTTTATTGAATTAGGACTATAAAATATATGCTTCAATGATAGCAGAGATTAAAAATTAAAAAGATTCATTCATTTTTTAATGAATTTATGCATGTAGATCAGAATGAAATTCTGTCAAAGAGGCAGATTAAAAACAACATGAGAATGATTTTACACACATTGGAATATTATGAAGCACATCCTGGAAAACAAATGGCATTGAATTTTTTAGATACACAGAAAACATTTGATAACATCAATTGGCAATTTTTGTTATTATAATTAAAATTCATGGATTTTTGGGGAGAGATTTATTAATATGATTAAGGTAATATATCACAAACAAACAGCTAAGATGATGGTAAATGGGGACATGACAGAGAATGTTAATATAAAAAAGGCACAAGACAAGGATGCCCATTATCCCCCTTACTATTTATACAGATTTGGAAGTGCTAATTATATTAGACAAGACAAAGAAATAAAAGGAATGGAAATAAAAAAAGAGAAATACAAGTTACAGGCATTTGTGGATGATTTGGTTTTTATTTTAGAAGATCCACGAGAAACTGAACCTGAGTTAATTTAAAAAACAGAAGAATATGGTGAAATCGCAAGACTGAAAACAAACAAAGAAAAGACTAAAATACTAGTTAAAAATCTTACAGATACACAGAAAAGAGAGCTAATGAAAAGAATTGACATAAAGATAGTCAAGAAAGTAAAGTACCTAGGGATACAATTAACAGCAAAATGTGCAATGATTATAGAGGACAATTATACTAAGCTGATGTAACAAATCAAATCAGATTTGGAGAAATGGAAAAACTTTCAACTGTTGTTGCCAGGAAGAATAGCTAAAAATGAATATTTTGCCAGGACTATTATACTTATTTCAAACAATTCCAATAAAATGGGGGGGGGGGGGGTATTTTGAAGAACTAAACAAAATAATATGAAGATATATTTGGCTACCATGTTTCTCCAAAAAGATGACCCACCTTGAAAAGAAGCCCTATCATGTTTTTGAGCACATGTGATCAAATTAAGCCCCACCTACAAAATTAGCCCCAATTAAGACCCCACTCACCCCAAGGTGTAGGCACACAGGTAAAAAATAAGCTAGAATGGGGTGGGGTGGGGTGGAGCTGCTCTACTTACCATGCCTCGTACACCCCAACACCTGCCTCATCTTCTTCTGTGGCTGCCACTTGCATGCATCGCCCTGGCCTGTTTTGCCTTCAGATTATTGACTCACTTCACAGCGGTGGCACCAACAGCCCCACCCAACAGGAGCTCATTGCTGGTCCACTTCTTCTGTAGCCACTTGCCGCCACTTGCACATATCGCCCTGGCCTCTGTTTTGCCTTCAGATGCCTTCTGGAAAGCCCTCTGCAGCCGATAACAGAGCTCCGGATCAATTGGAAAAATATGGCATACTTCACTTAACCCTCCAAGGAAAAACTGAAGGCAAATAAGGTCCAGATAGAACATCATGGCTTCAAAATCAACAGCACTTTTTCATGCAGCTGTTGATAAAAATAGGATCACCAACATGATTGCCAAGGTCCGATGAAAGATATGGCCCAAGAAGAGTTCCCAGTTCCAAGCACAGTCTTGTTTTCATAAAACCAATTCCTTTTTTTTCTCATAGAATTGGAACTGATGTTTGATATTCTCCAATAAAAATACATATAAGCTGATAGGGAGTATACCTTTTTAAAGAGCTAAGTAGAAATGTTGATCAATGGTTTTTTTTCCAGAATAGCAATTACTGCACAATCAGTAATGGCCATATGAAATCTGAACTATTATAAAAGTTCTGTGACTCAGAAGTTGCCTTACAGATTGAAAATACCATTAAAGAATCAGGAAAATAATGAAATAATAAAATTATTAGATCTAACTTTATGGTTATACATGGTTGAAACAACAAGTGTAAAGGAAATAAAATGCATTATATTTTGAAATTGTAACATCTGTAATATCTTCTCTTAAAACAATTGGCTTTATGTTAAAGCTCAAATCTTAGAAAACTCATATTTCTAATTTTACTAAGTAAGCACTCATTGAAGACTTAATAGAATATTACTTACATTTTTATATATTGCTGATAGATCAATTTACTTATTTAAATATAACAGAAAACATTAAGTAAATATAGTATAGGTAGTCCTTGAACACAATTGAGACCAGAATTTCTGTTGTTAAAACAAGAAAGTTGTTCTGTAAATTTGCCCCATTTTACAACCTTTTTGCCACAGTTGTTAAGTGAATCACTGCAGTTGTTAAATTAGTAACATGGTTGTTAAGTGAATTTGGCTTCCTCATTGACTTGTGAGAAGGTCGCAAAAGATGATCACATGACCCTGGGTCATAGCAATCTTCATAAATACGAGCCAGCTGCCAAGCATTCAAACTTTAATCATATGACCATGAAGATGCTGCAATGGTCATAATGTGAAAAACGGTCATGGGACACTTTTTTCAGTGCTATTGTAACTTTGAACAATCACTAAACAAATGGTTGTAAGTCAAGGACAACCTGTAGTTGGATTCAAAGAAGGTTATTTCTCTTTATTGTCTTTAACCTCTTAATTTGAATTTATTACATTGCACTTATCAACAAGTGTTAACAGGACATCAGTTGCATACTAAACCTGAGTTAATTCTGTCCAATGGTTTGCCTTGCCTTTCAGGCCAGCCAAAGGATGTAGAACAAATCTTTAATCCTCTGCTACTCAGAGAAACAGGAAAACCTATCACATGAATTCCCTTAGATAAGCTACTTTAGCAGAGAAAATTCATTAAAAAAACCCAGTTCTTTGGCTTTTATTGCAATCTGGTTCTGCTAGGAATATATTTAGTCCATAGATATATTTTCAACAAAGGATAGTAACAACAATCCCCACATTTTTTTTCTTTTTTGCTAGTATATCCTAAACCAGTCACAACAGAGACTATTGCAGGTATGCATATTAAGAAAAAAAAGCTATATTTTATGCTGAACATGCTTCAAAGAGGAGAGAACAGTAGAGGGAATTTAAAGAATGCAAAATACTTGGGAGAATTTTTATTGTTGCAAGATTGAATCTGGGTCGGTCACCAGGACCAGAGATTTACTCTTCCAAGCTTTCAGACTCATGCTGGAGCCCATCTTCAGGAAACTTCTCTCACTGGAATATGTGCTTTGGGCTATTCTGTGAATCATATTTATGTGATGTCTTCCTATTGGCAGATTGGTGTAGTGATGGTTGGTGTATTGACACCAATCAGCTGATAGGAAGGCGCCATATAAACACGAACAGCCAGAGTAGTCCAAAACACGTATTCCAGTAGAGAAGTTCCCTGAAGATGGGCTCCAGCATGAGTCTGAAAGCTCAGAAGAGTAAATATCTGGTGACCAACCAAGATGTAATCTTGCAACTTTTATTGTCTTTGAAAAATCAAAACAGGTATTCCACAAATATTTCTCTCTTTGACTTATTAATGACATACACAGAGAAAGATCTTGAATTTTCATCTCACTCTTTTGTATTTTCAATATAATTTCATGCTTCCTACATCAATTCCTTTCAATGAGACACAGGCTAAGCAAGATGTCCATCCTAATCATTTACTAGTATTATTTAGACAAGCAAATGAACATTCATACCATACCATTTTAACTACAAGATAAAAAATAAAGCTAATTCTTTTTAAGTAAAGCACCATACACAGCTCCCCACCACAAATTGTATATAAATGCATCCTTTCTGTTTCTGATATAATTGATGGTTCCCTTCTTGAAACAGATACTTATTAACTAATGCAGTATAACCTGTGGCCCTCAGCTCACATCATGCAGCCCCCAAACTTTATGTAAAACATCATCTAAACTTGGCAGAAAAGCTGATAGCCAGCAAATGGATTATTTTTTCTTTCTGCATCTTGGAAAGTCCCTTCTTGAAAGAGTTGGATTGTCTGCAATTGTCCCAGTAAAGTAATTATGTTTGTATTTCTGATCCTGCCATATAACACGGCAAATACTTGAAAATGAATTAGCCAGGATATTTGTTGAGCGAAATGAGCCAATAATAACTAAAAGCAGAACTGTCATGGTTTTTCAAGATAACCTTCTTTGGTATAAAGAAATGCACTGGTCTTTTGAGGGAATCCAAAATGTTTTGAGCTTTTTTTAGTTCAGTTGCATTCTACATTTCCAGGGTACAGACATACTTTTTTTTCTTATGGAAAGAGTACCAGTTGCGGAGATATTCCTTCATCCCAGTACCCTTAAAACATTTTAAATAACCATACAGAAAACTTCCAAATTTAAAAAAACACAAATTTTAAAAAGTATCTTTTCATGTACTCCATGGTACTTATTCTTAGCCTTACTGAAATAAAAAGCTGAATGCATTCCACATCTATTTTCATCAAGGGATAATCTCTAGCCTAATTTAGGGTAAGTGGAAATATAAAAGTATATATAACATGAGTCAAACATGGACCAACCTTTACAAAAGCTAGGTAGTTTGTGCATTGTTTCTGCATATAGGAAAGCTGCACTTGTTCTGTGATCTGGCCCGTTGCTTCTCCAGAAGAGATGAAGTAAACCCTGATTGGGTATCCTTTTTCTTTCTTTGCCACATCAGATGTCAAATTATAATTCAAATCTAGGCAAAAATTAAAAAAATCATAACATAGATTATTTTCTACTGTTAATATATATCACAGGCTTTTTATAATCATTATTGTGATTTAGGATTATTATGAAACTTCAATCTATTTAGAGATAGGTCACTTCTGTACCAAGTTCACTTCTATGTCCTAGTAACAAATCCCAATTTCAGAAGAACATTTGCAAATTTGGATAAATGCCAACATTCCAGAGCAAACCAGCACAATCGTAAATGCAGCTAATCAGCCATACAAGAGGTCCTCCTTAGTGCTTCATATTCCTAGTTATATAGATAATAAGAACTGAGAAGTGCAAGTTTTATTCCTCTTACTCAATATTAACTTCTTACGTACTAATTCTAAGAAGGAAAAGAAGGCAGGCAGGCAGGCAGGCTATAATTTCTCTACACATTAGTGGTACAGCCTAAACAAATGTCACCTAGATTTTTTTCCACGTGAAATCTTAAATCAGGCTTGTCCAACCCGCGGCCCACGGGCCGCATGCGGCCCAGGTCGCCTCGTAATGCGGCCCAGTGCCCACCCCAACCTTCATGCCAGAGCCAGCGAGGAGGAGGAGGAGAGGCAGGCGCAAGGCGGGGCGAGGCGAGCGCCAGGCCAAGCAGCAAGAGAAAAGGCGGGCGCCATCAGAGCGCCACCTCCTGCTGTTGCCGCTTCTGCCCCCGCCACTGCTGCCCCCGCCGCCGCTGCCCCCGCCGCCGCTGCCCCCACCGCCACTGCCCCCGCCGCCGCTGCCCCCGCCGCCGCTTCTGCCCCCACCATCGCTGCAGCTTCTGCCCCCACTGCTGCTTCTGCCCCCGCCACCGCGGCTGCTTCTGCTGCCAAAGCTTCTGCCCCCGCCGCTGCTGCCCCTGCCGCCACTTCTGCCCCCACCGTCGCTGCCGCTTCTGCCCTCGCCACTGCTTCTGCCCCCGCCGCCGCCGCTTCTTCCCCCACCACCGCGGCAGCTTCTGCCGCCGCTGCCTCCGCCGCCGCTTCTTCCCCCGCCGCTGCCCCCGCCGCTTCTTCCCCCGCCGCTGCCCCCGCCGCCGCTTCTGCCCCCGCCAGCGGTGGCAGGGGCAGTGGCAGCAGAAGCAGCCGCGGTGGCGGGGGAAGAAGCAGCAGCGACGGTGGGGGAAGAAGCGGCGGCGGGGGCAGAAGTGGCAGCAGTGGCGGGGGAAGCGGCGGCGGCGGGGGCAGCGACGGTGGGGGCAAAAGCGGTGGTGGGGGAAGAAGCAGCGGCGGCGGGGGCAGAAGCAGCAGCGGGGGCAGAAGCGGCAGCGACGGTGGGGGCAGAAGCAGCAGTGGTGGCAGAAGCCGCAGTGGTGGGGGAAGAAGCGGTGGTGGCGGGGGCAGAAGCAGCAGCAGGGGCAGAAGTGGCAGAGACAGTGGGGGAAGAAGCGGCAGCGGCAGAAGCAGTTGCGGTGGCGGGGGACGAAGCGGCAGGGGCAGAAGCAGCGACGGGGCAGAAGCAGCAGCGGGGGTAGAAGCGGTGGCGGGGGAAGAAGCGGTGGCAGCAGAAGCAGCCGCGGTGGCGGGGGAAGAAGCGGCGGCGGTGGCGGGGAAGGCTTCTGCTCCCGCCGCTGCTGCTGCTTCTGCCTTTCAGTCCTGCCTCATCCAGCCGGGCCATTTGCAGGAGGAGAGGTAGGCGCGAGGCGGGCGAGCTTTCTCCTCCCCCCTCCCCCCCCTGCAAAATTTGGCCGGAAAATAAACCGTGATAAAAAAAACTGTGATAAAAAAACCGTGATAAAAAATAATTTTTAATAAATAATTAATAATAAATAATAAAAACATCTCACTAACTTCACTTCCAAATAAATTTAATATGTTAACTATGTTTTCTATGGTTTTTTTGGATGATCAGGTATCGTTACTGTTATTTTATTTTATGTGCGGCCCAAACCAAATTTTCATCTTCTAATGTGGCCCAGGGAAGGTGAAAGGTTGGACACCCCTGGTATAAATGATAGTGGCAACAATTTTTTGTGTCTTTCATACAGATAACATAATTAGAATGCATTCTGAATGATGTAGATTTATTTTAATTAAGTGTACCATTGGTCGATTTTATCTTATTTTGTTTCCCATTTTAGTCAGGTTCTCATATCATATAATCCATGTCAAATTTTTCCTTTGGGGCAGGGGAACAATTATTAACAGACTACTAATACACATTAGTTTTAAACTCAGCTAAGGTTCTTCAGACTAGGAGTGGTCAGGTGAAGAAAGAATATGGAAAAGGAAGGAAAATATCCTGAGTGAGCACAAACTGTACTGGACAGATGAAATAATAACATATGCACAACTGTTTGAGACAGAAGCTGAGACTCTGGAGTTCTGCTCTTCATAAGGTCATCATTATATAATTGAATAGGAAATACAGGGCAGTGTCAGAGGAGTATCTAACTAGGATCTGGATTTAAATCTACCTTCAGCCAGTCCTTATTTCTAACTTTACTCTACTTTATTTACTACTATGAGACTTAAAGTCTTATTTGGCTATAGAAATAAATATATTCCCTTGAACATGAACATATTTCAAGCCCTTCTGGAAATTAATTGTCACTATTGTACTGCCTGCGGCTTCAGATTTTTATAATGTATTATTTATTAACAAAATGTTTTAATAAAATGCTCAAATAAAATCTAGGTGGCTACCAAGTAAAATTCAAGCATCCTTGAAAATATAATTTCCCCCATGTAATCAGCAGAAAGAAAACATGGAAGATCCCCAACCAAAACAACAGCAGGTAAAAGCTGCCCAGTGTCACCTTGCAACAAGATGGACAGGAAATAAAAGTAATTAATAAATAAAAGAAATCTGAGCCTGAGATAGAACTGTAATCTGAATGTCTCAAACAAAACCTTTCCTCTCTTTATCTTAATCAAAACTAGGAGGGTCTTGTCTGAGATGTTTACCTGAGTGACAGTTCTGACTCATACTGAGGTTTCTTTTAGCTGCCATTGCCTTGGTTGCAGCTCTTTCTCCTTTTCAAAGTTATTCATGCTCCTCTCACATCATCCGCTGGAAAAAAGGAAGCATTTTCAGCAAAAGAGTGTGATGCACCTCTCTACACATGGAACATTCTACAATGACTTCTGGCCCATGTTACTCCTACTTTTCAAAAGGACAGACCCTAGATTATCCCACAGGGGATACAAAATGTTTTTGAATAACAAGGTTCTTAATAAACAACGTTCATCATGCTTAGCTTTATAGATAATAATCAGCAATTTTAATGAGCCTGGGAGATTGCTGCGAAGCAATGTAGATGCTGTAGAATAGATATATGAACTCATCTATAACAATACAATTAAAGGCAGCTTCACGTAAGAGTGAGATGCAACAGTCAAGGCATGTGACATTCAGAGAACAAGGCAACATCACTAAGGCTTCCTGGTACAGTTTATCAAATTAATATTATAGAAAAACATTTTCTGAATTGTATTTAACATTTTTTAAGCTCTCTGAGAAAGCCCTGTATTTGAAACAATATCTCTTGCTACTTCATCTTGCTCTTGCATATTCAAGACTGATTCAACACACTCATCTGGACTTCTGGTCCTTTTTTTCTTCCTTGACAGCATTTGACATACAGCCTTGTGGACATTGGGGACATTGTTTGTTATGACTTTTGCTCTGGATAGTAATGGAACTCTAGTTCAAAAATCATGTTAAAAGATGATGTTATCTGACTATATTCCCCCTATTGTTAATATCATGATGGCCTATTTGATATGCTCCTTGGTTTGGACAGTTGGGACAGAATATCTTGATACAATATATCTCTGGTTTTCTGGCTTTTTAGAACTGCATAAATAAAGAACTCCTCAATGACAAGCAAACCATGATAATCAACTTCATAGGTAATAAATTGTGCATTACAGGCACCTTACAGAGGGCTATACCATTCTGCTTCTTCCACATGTTAGCGGTCATCATATAGTGAGCTGTCAACATGTACTGTGATTCACAATGCAAACAATACCACTTGCAAAAAAACAAACCCTACAAAATCTATCCAATGTGTGAGGCAACTGGCTATATACAAATTGACTTAGAGAATTGTGACCACAGCCCTCTCATATAGCAAGTCAAAATATCCCTCTAACAACTGTCATAACATGTGCATTAGCTCTCAAATAGAACAGAAAATTATCCAAAAACCACTCCTCTGTAGTCATGGCCACATTCTTTCTGAACAATAGTTGACATTTCCGAATAGGTTCAGTAGTATATTAAACATCTTTCTCCACTTTGTTTTTGGCATGCATGAGTAAAAATGTAGAATTACATTCTGACTCACTTTATTCAGGGAGGTCTACGTCAGATCTATTTATATTAGAATTGCCTAAACATCCACATGTTTAGGCTATCAAGCCTGATTTTGATATAAATGTAAACACACATTTTATTATAGTATTAAAATCAATTTATTTTTCTTTCTAAAAAGTGATCAGTGAAATACATCCTTTCTATAGCAGTGTACAGTTGTTTGCTGTTTGCCAGTCTTAATAAAAAGAGCTAATCTTCACTATAAAAAAAGCAGTCTGACATTTCAGTTTCTTCATATTCCCATTAAGAATATGGAATCTATACTGCATTCTAACAAAATATGGTGCCTAACTAAACAAAGATATATAGCACAGTTTAAAAAATGCAAACTATTTGCATGGACACTATCAATGACCCATTTATTAACACAGCAATAATTATAGTTGCAATAACAATAGCGATCATAATAATCTATGTCTCGATTTAAATTTACCAAAACAAAATGACAGTAAAGGGACACATGGCTTTCATAATTAGAATTGAAGACATTGCTATTTTAAATCATGAAATAAAGAGCCATTTATCAAAATTGATCCCAAATTGTTTCTAGTTTATTAAAGAAGAGGAGAAAGCTTTGTACATTCCAAATTCTCCTTCTAACTATGTAGTTTTCAGTGATATAGATTTAATCATGCACAAGTAACTTACCATAACAAACTCAAT